ACACGTGTTGTGATCCATGTATATGAAAAATGTTTATTTGATATATTTCATATCCCTGTGTCTTGACACGGAGGTACCACAGCAAATGAAAAAGACGAAAGCCCTGTGCTTGGGGCCCGTACGAGAGGCAGACATCAGCGAAAGTGAAAATAAGAGCTGTGGTCAGGCAGGCAGGAGATGGGGTTTGGGGAAAATGTGGTTTTCAGTCAGCTGGTTGGGGAGAGCAGATACTGTTAGAGAGGAACCAAGAGACCCAGCCTTTCATCACCAAACCACGCAACGGCCCATCCACACAGACACTCAGCACTCTATGGCATCGTGCTATTGGGCAGAGGGATGCCTTCCTGGGTGCCTGTGTGGGGGGCTGGGGGTTGCTCAGAGATGAATGAGATACAGCCCCTGTTGTGGGTAAATGAGCAAGGGGAGAAACCCGTGTCACCTCTGAAACTGTCTGGGAGAGGTCCAAAGTGTCTCTTGTACCAGACACATAAAATGGGTAAAATTGTGTTTAATAAACTTATGAGGAAGATTTTAGGCTTTAAAAGCTATGAACATGTAAAAACATGTGACCAAATCCTTCTTGTCCAGATTCCCCAAGATTTGCCCTCAAGAAGCGTACCTCTGTCCTGGTGAAGAAAGTGTGGCCATGTGACCTGGGACTTCCTTGCTCTATTGTAATCCATTCTGGGAGCCTATATCTTATTTTCTAAAACTAGCATGACATACAGTACCTCCATCTTAAGTATACAATTCAGTCATTTTTAGTAAATTTACAGAGTTGTATAACTCTCACCAACAATCCAATTTTAGAATATTTCCATCCCCCCAAAACCATTTCATCATTCCCATTTATAATCGCCCACCGTTCTTACCCGCAGACCCAGGCTGATCTGCTTTTTTGTCTACAGATTTGCCCATTCTACGTATTTCACATAAATGGAATCATTCTGTATCATGTGGTCTTTGTGACAGGCTTCTAACACTGAGCACGCTTGTGAGGGTCACCCACATGCTAGCAAGTATTGGTTATGGCCGGATCATAGTCCATCCTATGTATCCATTTACCATGCTGTGTTTATCCACCAACCAGTTGATGGACACTTGGGTTTCCAGCTCAGGGCTATTACGGTTAACGCTGCTGTGAACGTGTGCACACAAGTCTTGGTGTGAACGGATGTTTTCATTCTTCCCGTGTGGAAACCGGGGGTGGAATTGCTGTGTCGGGCAGCCAAGTTTAGCTCTGTGAGGAACTGCCCTTCTTTTCCGGAGTGGCTGCTGTATTTTATATCCCCAGCGGCAGTATCTGAGGGCTCCCGTTTCTCCACAGCCTCCCCAGCACTTGTTATCATCTTAGATGTCCTATGCAGTGTTCCTTTATCCATTTAAGTGATGCTGGAGCCTGGTGGGGACCAGAGAAGGGCAGCAAGGAATTAAAGATGTGGACGCTGGAGCTCGGGAGAACAGATTGTAGCAATAAGAGCAGAAACAGGAAACCAGATTTCCCTCCCGGAGAGATTTCTCTGGGTGTCTCTCAGAAGACCCATTCCAGGGAGGGAGTAAGGTTACAGTGCACACGTGGGAAACCTTTTTGGGCCATCCTGGGTGGTGACAGTGGACACAGAGGGAATGGGTATTGCCTCCTTTGGGCGGTTTAGTCCTGCCTCTCGGGCTGAGGGCAGCGCCTGGTCCTCAGCAGAGCCACCCAGACATGCGGGGGCAGCCATCCACCAGCCCCACCGCCTACCAGTGTCCCCCCGCACCTTGCCCAACCCTGGGGAGACAAGCTAGAAACCAGCCCTTCCTCCAGAGAACATTGGTAAGCAGAAACCGCCCCCCCACCCACCCAGTCCCTGTCCCCCATCCCCCAGCAGCAGCCACATTCCTTGCCGAGACCTTGAGACCCCGAGGGGCCCCCATGGGCATCTGGAGCACCATTTCCTGGTCCTCTTTCCTCAGTCATCTATTTTCCCAAATCCCAGTCCTGCCTTGTTTACTTCTCTGGTTCTTGAAATAGCCGCACGAGAGCGCGTGCCAGCCTTGAATGTCGTTTGGAGCCCGACTGCCCCAAGCCTTGGGCCTCATCATCGTGTTATTCTTCATGCTGCTTCCGCTCTGCTCGGCACACTCTGTTCTTTGGAGCCAAGCCAGCCCGGGGCCGGTCTTTCCCACTGGAGCGGCTGCAAGTCCTGGGGGCTGGGTGAGGAGCCGCCTGGCAGCTCCGTGGGCCAGGTCTGCACTCTGGAGGCCAGCTCATGCCACAGCCTCTGGGGCCAGGTGGCGATGGGGCTGGACCTTGGTGCTGGCAGTGGACAATGACAGTGAACGCCCTCCACGGGGCTGGCTGTGTCAGGGGGCAGGGGGCGCAGGCAGCCGTGGGATGTCTGCTCTGAATCCAGGCAAGACTGCATACTATTATTGGTGTCCCTGACTGGGGTGGTAGAGGCTCATAGGAGGGGGGTGTCCCTAGAGCACTTCCAGCCATGAGGCAGGCAGGCTAGCCAGGCAGACACATGTTACTCAGTGTTTCCAAAGGCACCCACAGGAAACCAGCCACTTGAGAAGGAAGCTTGACTTTTCTGGGCTTTAAAGAAAACTGACTCGGAGTTCCCGTAACCAATAGGCTGCTGGTGGGGAATGGGGCTGTAATTTCCAAACACAGACAAAAAAGGAGAATCCAGGGGTGAGCGGAAACTTTGACCTTGGCGAGCCAGGCTGCAGGGTGGGGCTTCCCGACCAGCGTGGTCAAAAGGCAGTGGAGGCCGGGAGCTGTCACACTCCTGTCCAAACACGCTCCTGTCTAGCCACATCGGCCTCTCACAACATCAGAGCCAAGGATGCGAGAGATGCTGTCTGCCCCCGCCGCCATACAGGGCGTCCTGCGGTACTTCCACCCCAGCCGGGCGGGCCGGAGCCGGCTGGCCTCTGCCGAAAAGCACTTGTGTGCCCGGGGCACCACCCTGTGGACCTACATCCGAAACCTCGTATGCAAGGGCAAGGTGGGCAGAGGGGTGTGCCATGGTTTCCCAGGAGAGACCACGTCGGGGCAGGGTCCCTGCTGCCTGGATGTGGTGCTCCGTTGCTCTGCCTGCTGGCCGCATTGGGAGAGGGGCCCAGGGATTACCGTTCCCAGGAGGGACAGGGAAGCGGCGGGGTGGGGGGGGGGTTCCTGCTGAAGCTGCTTTTGTGTTTCCCTTTAAAGAAAACTCCCAGTGGTGGTGTGAAGCTCTCCCTTTGCTTAGGAGCAGAAGGGACGGTATCTGTCCCCTTCCTTCCTGGACAGCTAGGGCACAGGAGTTGGGGGTGAGAGGCTGGCGGTGCACCCGACCTTTACCTTGTCTCACCGCACCTGGTCTGGTTGAGAGTGTGGGGCCCCAGCATCATCCCCCTCATGCCACCCCTGGAGGAGGCCGTTCCCTCAGCTGGATGCCTGGGATTTGCTCTCTCGGGGAAGTTAGGTGTTTCTTTTCTGAGTGGTTTGTGACTGCCTGGTCGCTGCTCACAGGCCCTGCCCCTCAGAGTTGGGGTCCCTGTGGCCCAGAAGTCTGGCCCCTAAGGAATGAGAACCTGTGACCCTACAGCTGCAGGAGGGAGACACTCTGCCACCCTTTGTTTTTTCTGTGTCATTCTGTCCGTGCATTTCAGATCTTTGGGGATGTTAACCAGTAGGCCCTTGAAGGGGAGGTGATGCCTCGCTGCCCCTGCCAGGAGTGCCTGTGCTGAGCCTCCGTGCCAAGCAGTGTAGGGAGAGAGGCTCAGGTTGCAAACACCTGAGTTGTAGCTGCCAATGGACCTTCTTTCCTGTCCTGCACAAGGCCCATGTGGCTCTCACCCCTTGGGTCGCTTGCAGTGGGTAGATACAGGATGCTTGTTCTGAGCACCCCTCTGTACCTGGTGCTGTGCTCAGTACTGTCCGTGTGTGTGTGTGCGCGTGCGTGCATATGCATGCACATGCACAAGTTGGTGTGTGCAGCGATTACAAGGCACAGACCCCGCTCTCCAGTGGAGTGTCTAGTTGCAGACACGAAGCGAGTGATGAAATCACAAGGCCCTGCAGGAGGAGCACCAGGTTATACGGTGTCGGACAGTGGCTCCCTAATCTGGCTTTATATCAGAATCCCTTGGGGAGGTTTCTAGTTAGATGAATCCCAGATTTCCCCTCCTCTCCCCCTGCTGCTGGTGCAACTCTGGGAGTAGAACCCAGGGAACTGTTTTTGAAACGAGATCTTCCCAGGTGCTCAGTGGTGTGGAATGTGTGCTTACCAAAACAGGGGAGATGGAGTCCTCCTAGATGGGGGGCTCTTGGCCTGACCTTGAAGGTCGGAGTCTCATAGCAGCATAGGCTGTGGGGTGAGATTCAACAACATGGTCCTACAGGCCGGTACTCAGAGAGTGCTGTGTGGGGTAAAAGTTGGAGGGGGTGCAGAGGGCCCCCCAGCGCCCATCACTGGCTGTGTGATTTGGAGCTGGGTTCTGGGTCCTTCTGGTTCTGACTCTGAACCATGGGACTGGCCTGGACTGGAGACCCCTCCTGCATGGGCTCCTACCACCTGGCACGCTCAGGGGAAAAACCGTCCCAGACTCTTCATTGGCATGCCCTCTGAAAGTTCCTGTTGAACTTGGGTTTCCCAAAATATCTAAGCCAAATGCTCAGCCTCCCTGAGCTGCACATGGCGCCTGCGATGGTTGGTGAAGGGGAGTAAGTTGACCGCCAGTATGGACTTGAATTCCCCGTGGGAAGGGACAGAGGGAGGAACAGGGCCCTGAGCCATGAGCCTGGGACCCGTGAAGCACAGGTCTGGGAGCAGGATGGCTCTCAGTTTCCAAGGGTTTTCTAGCAAGTTCTCTTTCAGGACCCCTCTTGGCCTCCAGACAGAGGTGCGAACAGAGGTCCAGCTCTAATTCTGACTTAGGTGTGGAGAAGGCACAGGCTTGGGCTGCTTCCTGGCAAGGTCTCTGTGCAGATCTCAGGGCACCTGATAATCCTGACTGCTTGCTTTCAGCTGGACCCGCAGGCCCTGCAGGACAGAGACTGGCAGCGGACTGTCATCGCCATGAATGGGGTATGTTGGTGCCTACTTTTCCCACACGATGAGGGTGGCACCGATTCCTTCCAAAACAATCAGAAGGAGGCTAAGCCTGAGCTAGTGTCTGAGGTGGGGCATGGCTGGAGGAGGGAAAGGCACTGCAAAGCAGGGTCACTACGGGCAGGAAAGTATCCATTGGTCGCTGGAGAGTAGTCCCCAGCGTCCTCCTTGAACAGGATAGGCAGGACCTTGACCCTGGTGTCTACCTGTAGAAACTGCGACCCTGATTAGTTTTCAGGGTCCCAGAAGGATTTAGACCTTTTAAAAAAAAAATAAGAAAACGATTACATACCAGAAAAGGTCTGGGCATATGTGACAAAATGTTAACATTTGATAGATAATTCATGGCTTTTTGTTATGTTATTGTCTGTACTTTTTCTGTTGTTTGTTAACTATTAAGAAAGAAAAGCAGTGGGAGTTAGGGTTTGGGGGCAGTGTCCTGCAAGAACCAACCCTTGAATCATCCTGACCGGTCCCATTTCTTGCTGAGTTGGGCCAGGGACCCGCCCTACACTGGGATCTTAGCCCACTTGCTCAGGGAGGGGGAGTGATTTGCCAAGCCCCCTGCACCTCCGGGAACTCAGACTGTGAGTCCCAGAAAGGTGAGAGGGCCGTGCCCCTGCCTTCCCCTGCAGATTGAAGTGAAACTCTCTGTCAAGTTCACCAGTAGGGAGTTCAGCTTGAAGAGAATGCCTTCCCGAAAACAGACGGGCGTCTTCGGAGTCAAGATTGCCGTGGTCACCAAGTGAGTGCAGGGGGACTAGAGTTTATATGTCTCTCATCCCTGGGCACAGTGGGCACTCCTCCTCAGGTGTTTCTGAAGGAAAGAACAGGTGAGGGTCTCCCCTCTCGGTACACAGTCCTCTGTGCACAAGGCTGTCTCCCAGGCCCCCCAAGCACTCTGTGTGCTTGGTTACCTCCCATGATTACGGTGAAACATGGCCCTGTCAGCTTAGGAATATCCTCGCCACCTTCCTGTGCGGGCAGGCTCCCACACTACTGGAACTGTACAAGGTCAGGGTTTTCTTCCCTCACTCAGAATCTGTCCTGATCGGGGTTCCTGTAGCATGATGGCCACCTCGACCCCTTGGTCAGGTCAGCTGCCTGGAGAAGTCTGTGTTTGAGAGCAGTTCTCAGGGACACAGGTCTCTCCCTGCCAGGATCCATCATTCACGTCCTCCATTTGGAATCCGGCCGGGCCCCTGACCTCACTGGTCGTCCAGGCCGAGGCCTGCATCCAATGTTCCCCAGACACCTAATTGTGTCCAAACACCATTCCCCGCCCCCAGCTGCACCCCAGCTGTCCCCAGGGTCTGGGGCCTGAGCAGAGAGGACTGTGTCAGCGGTTATTCAAATAAGTGCTGCTGATGGGGTGGCTGGGGAGGGAGCTTTGCTGGGCTCCTGGATCCAGGTGCTTAGCTAGGCCGGAGCAGACACTCCAAACAGCATGTCTCCCGTTTCTGAAGTATTCCTACTCCAGGGTCCCGTATGGAGGTACCAGCATTGTGCATTGTTAAGACATGAGTGAATAGTATTTAGAATCCCAGGATTCTGGGTGCTGATTGGAGACGGCCCTGTGGAGTCATTCATCCAGCAGATGGTGGTGGCATGCCGCTGTGTGCAGGGCTCACCTCTCTCACCTCTTGCTGAGGCTTGGAGGGATCAGGATTCCCCTCACACAGCAAGTGGGTAGCAGGGCCGAGACTGGGTCCAGCACCCTGTGCGGCCACCTGTTTGCCCAACACCTGGATCTTTGTAACTGACTTCCTATGGCTGATACCACTTAGAAAAGCCTCCTGACCTCCTAAATCCCATATAATTCACAGGCATCCAGCTACCTTAGAAAGGCACTAATAATGGCGGCACCTGGGTGGCTCAGTGAGGCGTCTGACTTGGGCTCAGGTCACCTTCTCGGGGTCCTGGGATCGAGCCCCACGGCGGGCTCCCCACTTAGCTGGGAGTCTGCTTGTCCCTCTCCCTCTGCCCCTCCCCTGCTCGTGTTCTCTCTGTTTCAAATAAATAAAACCTTTAAAAAGGAAGAACAAAGCCTTGAGAAGATGTAAGTGATGGTAATCATGAGCTCTCACAGCAGAGGGAAAGCATGCAGACAAGTCCATGTGAGCCCAACCTTGGGGGCCTCCATCACCCCCATCTCCGGGTGTCCAGATGTACAGATGGGGTGGGTCTAGCCTCACTGCAGCCTGAGCCGGAGCCACCAGGCGCTAAAGGCACTGCCTCTCCCCTGCAGGAGGGAGAGATCCAAGGTGCCCTACATTGTGCGCCAGTGTGTGGAGGAGATCGAGCGCCGGGGCATGGAGGAAGTGGGCATCTACCGCGTGTCTGGAGTGGCCACGGACATCCAGGCGCTGAAGGCAGCCTTTGATGTCAGTGAGTGTCAGCCTGGGCAGCACGGGCTGGGGGTGTGGGTGTGGTGATCGTGTGCCTCCCATGGCTCGGCTTGTGCTGGCTCCATACCTTTCCTTCACTGTTTTAGTTTTCAAATGAAAAGAAGAGGGAGCGGTGGGAGGCGGTTCTGCAGAAGCCCATTCTCCTGTCTGAACCATGCGTGATGGGTCTCATGGAGTGGGACCAGGGCCTTCTGTGGGGCCGCCCCACCTCGTGCTGGGGTTTAGCCTGCTTCCACCAGCTGGAAGAGAGGTGCTGTCCAAAGCCCAGGAGTCAGTGTGATCTATTAGAACTTGGTGGAACTGCCTCAATCCCCAGATGAGGATGCTGAGACCCCAGAGGCTTCTCAGAGTAGAAGGGGGCAGAGACAGGACTTGGTGCCTGCATCCTCTCCCCTCCCTGGCTTGTGACACCATGGTCCAGAATGTTATCAGAAGATGCCTGTAGCCAGGTGGTCACTACGGAGCAGAGCCCCCTCAGTCCCTGCCCAGGCACAGTGTCTGGCCTCCGCCAGCCTTACAGCCCCTCATGGTGGCTCAGCTGCCAGGCCACCCCTTGCCCAGCAAGGGAGGGGTGGGGAGGACGCCTCCCATGTCAGAATCACCGGCATGCTTAGAAGAAGATGAGCTGCTGAACGGAGGAACCCCAAAAACCAGCCTGCTGTGGGCTGTGCTAGGCCGAGGCAGGGAGAGCGGAGCCCTGTTTGGGATCCCTGAGTAGGCTGTGCTTCATGTCCACACTCCTTCCAGATAACAAGGACGTGTCGGTGATGATGAGCGAGATGGACGTAAACGCCATTGCCGGAACGCTGAAGCTGTACTTCCGTGAGCTGCCGGAGCCCCTCTTCACTGATGAATTCTACCCCAACTTTGCCGAGGGCATCGGTGAGCATGGGAGGTTCCCTCTCTCCACCCGGTCCGTGTTTCAGTCCATACTTGGTGGGTGGCAGGGGGACTGTGTACCCAGCTGGTCCCGGAAGGCCTCTGCCCATCCTTATAGGGCCTCCCATTGTCCGCATCCCTGCAAGTGGCCCCAGAGGGTAAAGCAGCCGCTACCACTGTGGACGCACTGGGGTATGGGGTTCTAGAGGCTCCTTCCTCCTCACTGGAGTGCCTGCCCTGCTCCTCTAACCCCAGGTCCTAGTCCCATCAAGTGGGGCTTCAAGCCCAGCCTGACCCTAAGTCAACCCGGAGGGTGGTATCCAAAGTGGGGGCACTGGGGCCCAGGGTACACAGGGTGATGAGGGAGCTGCCAGGGCCCCCCCAAAACTCCTGCCACTCTTCCTTTACGTTTCATTCCATGCTCAGCTTCTCGTGCCTTGGGCTTTTCTGAGCAGAAGGTGGGAATGGCCAAGCCAGCCAGGAGGGCAGCTATGCCTGGCATCTTTTGCCACTGGTCCCTGGGGTGCCTGTCAGCCCTCTGGGATACAGATAAGGCACCCATCCTGGGGTCCTCACTGGGGGCCAATGCTGTGTGGGTCAGGACAATGATGGGCCTGGACTGTGCTCTGCCTTCTGACTTGGGCCCCAAGAGGGGCCTCCAGCTTGACTGTGACCCTGCGAATAACCTCCCTCCCAACCCCCCCTCCCCCGCAGCTCTTTCAGACCCTGTTGCAAAGGAGAGCTGCATGCTTAACTTGCTGCTGTCACTCCCAGAGGCCAACCTGCTGACCTTCCTCTTCCTTCTGGACCACCTGAAAAGGTAACCCCAACTCTTCCTCGGGCCCAGGGTTCCAGGACCCCGAGGCCGCAGGGCAGGCTCTCTTGTGGCCTACTGGCTCCTGTCGCACTCCATGGCTCCTAGAGACCTTGCCACTAGCTCCCCCACCCCACCTGCACTCTCCAGTCTTAAGAGAGGAGCGAGATGCTTCAGTTACAGCCAGTGGCTGGGCTTTCTCTCCCCAGCAGGTCATGGCCCACAGCTGACCCAGCTACCTGCCAGCCTCGAGTGCTCTTTGTCCTCGGCCCCTCCATCCCAAAAGAAGCGGGGTGGGGTCTGCTTTCGGCACGACCAGGGGTGGGGTGTCTGTGTTGTAGAGTCAGCCCAAGGCAGAAGGATGGGGCCCACTGTCATGTTTCCTGAGTTCGGTGGGATGGTCTGGCCCCTCTGTCTCACCCACACCCTGAAAGCTGTGTCACGTAGCACCCTCTGCTTTGGCCGTCTGCAGGGTGGCAGAAAAGGAAACAGTGAACAAGATGTCCCTGCACAACCTTGCCACAGTCTTCGGCCCCACACTGCTCCGGCCGTCAGAGAAGGAAAGCAAGCTCCCTGCCAACCCCAGCCAGCCCATATCCATGACTGACAGCTGGTCCCTGGAAGTCATGTCCCAGGTATGAGGAGACAGACTCCAGCTCACACTGCCTCAGCTCACAGAGGTGGCCTCTGCCTGGCCCTTGCAGGGTCCTGCCAGTCGTTCCCACCCAGCTGTACAGGGAAGGGGGCCGAGATGCAGAGAGAGGGACTGAGGCCATGTGGCTGAGGTGTGGGGGGGGCGATGGGAGGACTCAGGCCACTGCCCTTCCTACTGTTCCTTCCTGGGGCTTCTCAGGGCTGGCCCAGTATTCCTTCAGGGACGCTCAGATCTCTTGCCAGGAGGGGCTCATTGTCACCAGCACACTCTGCAGCTATGAGCATCCCTCTGAGCCACTTGCCTCTCTCCTCCTCCCTGCTATGCCCTGGCAGGTCCAGGTGTTGCTGTACTTCCTGCAGCTGGAGGCCATCCCTGCCCCAGACAGCAAGAGACAGAGTATCCTGTTCTCCACTGAAGTCTAAAGGCCCAGTTCCATCTCTGAGAGGCCGGCAGAACGGCCTGGAAACCTCCTGGCAAATCGGGCTATCCACAGAGCGAGAACCGGATCTTCTTGAGGAGTAATTGGGCCGCCTTGCCCCCAAGGGCTGGACCACCTGCCTAGAGACAGCTACCCAAGGCAAAAGGCTAAGTGGCCTGGGCAGTTATGGGCCTCAGGGCCCTTTGGGTCTGTGAGCTCCCGCCGGGCCTCAGATTGCGGTTGTCCATGCTGCCACCAGAGGGCGCCCCACGCCAGCATGCCTCGGCGCGCAGGCCTGGCCGTGGGACCAGGCGAAGGGAGTGGTTTCTACGAACTTAACTTACCAGAGTTTAAAAGATTTCTACTGGATCACTTGTCAAGATGCACCCTCTCCAGGGAGAAGGGAACATGACCAGATTCCCTCACTATGGTGTCTTGAATAAACACTGATGCTGCTTCATACCGTGGGGGCCACAGCCCTGTCCCTGTGTGGGTGGGGGCTTTTCAGTTTCCCTGACTTAGAAATTCGACTCTTTGTTTAACAGGGTTTGAAAAGCTAAGTCAACACTGTGTAGCGTTTGACCCCTTTTGCCTCCTTCCTTTTCTTTCTTTCTAGAAGGAGCTCTGTCCAGATATGGGTCTTCCTATTCTGTCCTGTTGCTTTGTTTTTGCTATTCATGTCCCCTTGGAAGGCAGCTCCCCATGGAGCCATGTAACGTCTGTCTGTCCGTCTGTCCGTCTGTCCAGGACCGACATCAGGGGGAGGGAGGTCCAGGCTGTGCACTTTATGGCTTCTTCTCCAGGAATAGTGACCCTGTCCACTGCCTGCTGGGCACAGGCTCTCCTCTTCAGCTTCAAAAGGCCTCAGTCTCTCTGGCTTTCTCCAGCCCGTCACCCCCTCTGCCCATACCCTCCCTTCCCCTGATCGTCCCCCTCACCACACAGATCACTTCATTCTCTCGCTCTCTGCTGAACAAACTCAGTACTAACTTTTGTAAAGTTTCCTCTTGGCAGCAACAGCTTGCTGACAGCTTGTTTTAAACTTTGATCCGAATAGCCTTTTGATACTTGAATATTTTTAAGTTTTCTACACATAGTTTCAAATTTTTTTCCTAACAGATTCAGATACCTAATATGATATTAGAATGTACTCCATAGACAGTCCGTGTCCCAGCGACATTTTGTCTTCCTCCACACTCCGGCTCTTTTTCTCAGGAGCCCATTCTAAAGTCTCCTGAGCGTCAGGAATGGGGGAATGTTAGGAGCAGGGGGGAGCTGTTCTGCCAGCCAGGCTCAGGACGCTGGGCTCCTATCCCAGAGCAGGCGGAAGGACAGACACACACACACACACACACACACACACACCCCGCCCCTGGCCCCTGCTGCCCGCCTCTCCTGCTCTCCAAATACCAGTACAGAAGCCAGGACATTCCCAGTAACCCTCCTGACCACCCAGCCTAGAAAAAAGAGAATGAGGGAGGCCACTAAGTTTTGAAGAAACAAATCTATGAATAGTTGCTCTTTTTTTTTTTTTTTTTTTTTTTTTAAGAAAGGGGTTGGGGTGAGGAGAAAAGAAACCAGGAGAAGCCAAGTTTCCATGCTGGGCTTGCAAGAAGAGAGGATGTAGTGAACCAGAGGAGGGAGGTGATGGTGTGACTCAGGAAAAGGTGTTTGCTTGTCACGTGATTACACCAGTACCTGGTGGCAATGTCCCATGATCCTTCCCATGTCCTGCGTGGCAGGGGTGGGGATGGGAGGGCTCGCTTGACAAGGCAGTTCCTGCCTGAACTTGCAGCACATGGTTGGGGGGGCATGTGCCCCCAAACGTCTCCTCTGCTTATGGACCTGTTGATGCGGGGAGGCAAGGGGGGCGGCAGAAGACAGTCTCTTGAAGGTGTTATGTCCACATACTGTATTTATTTCTCAGTGCTTTATTCTTGCAAGGAGAACAGACCCACCATTTTAACGTAATGCTGTTCTCCTGGGGGGCTTAGGGCAGGGAGCGGAGTCCTGTGCCCTCTGCACATTTCTGGATGCACGGGGTTTCTCAGGCCTCCCAACTCCAAGCCGCCTCTGGCCTGGCTCCCTATCCCCATCCATCTTAGCAACCCACCAGCCCCGCAAGGGGAACACACTTGGCTTTGAAAATCTAAACCCAGCCCTTGTTTCTGTTCCCCTGGTGTCATGATTTGCGTCTGTCGCATTGAAACTGGAAAGCAATATATCCGTGTCTGTGCCAATTTTCGTTCCCTCCCCCATATCCTCCCCCTTTTTACTTTTTATTTATATAGAATGTGTGCTGTTTAATGACGGAATGACCACTCTTTCTCGTGTAGCTGTAAAAGCGCTCTTTTTGCCGGGCCACAGTGGCAGTGGTCGCTTTGGGGCCTCCGCTGTCCATGTTGTCCCATCATACATACGGGCCGTGGGTTAGTAACGCCAGCATAGGGCGCCTCGGGGCCTAGAGCCCAGACATGACCTTCCGCGAGGCTCGGCTGCTGGACTCTGCGGTGAGAAGTGCTGCTTTCCCGCCCTGGCCCCCCGAGTCTGGAGCTGTGAGCTCAGCTGGTCTCAGCAGCTGCATTTCTGCTTTGGGCTCAGCCCTCCCTATACCACCATGAGGCAAAGGACTGCCGACACTTTCATTAAAGTTACCTGAGACTACTTGTATCAGTGGCACTTGCTCCATTCGGAAGAAAAACCGTGATTGGAGCCCCTGGGAGGGGCCAGAGGTGGGCAGTGGGGGACAAAAAGGGCCCGGGTGCCCCGGAGGCCGCCTTGGAGGGCAATACACACAGGCATGAAGAAGCCAGGCCCCGTGGGGTCGACACACCACAGGCAGATGAGCAGTGTAGGGGATGACCCCAGAGCCCTCTGGTTTAGGGGAGTAAGTGTGCCGGCCATGTCAAGCCCAGGGCCAGGAAGGGCTCCAGCCACACACAGCCAGACCCCTGCACTGGCCCATTGGTCTCCATGGTTTCTACTGGCACTGAGGCTTGGGGAACATGGGTCACCCTTAGCTGCCACCAGCCTTATACTCAGAAAAAAGCCTGTCTGGCTGACAGGGAAGTTGTGCCCAGGGTGGAGACAGGTGTGGGTCCTGGGTGCTGCTTGGGAGGAGCCGGGGCTGCAGCTCTCCTGGTAGATAGCAAATGGCCAGTGGGGGGTCTTCCTCAGACCCCCGGGGGATGAGGGTCTCCTGGTGACTCCCTGGTCAGCTCCCAGGGGCCAGGGCAATGTGGTAGACTGGACTGATTCTCCCTCTGGCTGGCCTCCCATCACTGCTGCCTGTAGGGCATCACCAAGGCAATTTCACTGTGTGGGGCTGTCCTGGGGAGAGATGGGGCTGGATGGCAGCAACCCTTCACCAGCTTGTGGCGACCTGGAAGAGGTCACACCGGGAGTACGACAGGATGCCCTAGGGATGAGCCTCCACCCTCAGAATCTCCAAAGGCCTCAGAGCCCTTTCCCACACCACCCCCAGCATTTTTCCTCCCACAGGACCTCCTCCTCCAACACCCCTCCCACAGCCCCCCACTGTGGCCCCCACAGTGTATCCGTGAAGGTATTGTCTCCCAGCACCCCCTCCCACAGTGAACCCCCCGCAGCACCCTCCCCCAGAGCATTCTCCCACAGTGCCCCCTCCCACAGGTTTAAGTATTAACCTTGGGTCTTGCCTGCACTGGAAAAGCTTCACATACACCATGCCCTCCGTCTGCTCTAACATCTGCCAATGAGGAACAGCCTGCCATTGGCCCTTCTCCTCCAGAGTATTTGACCCCTAAAAGGCTCCAGTTAGTGTTAGCTCTCTCTATCCCTGTAGTCCTGGTCCTATTTGAAAACCATAAATAATAATAATAATAATAATAAATGTTAATGCCCTACTGCATCTCTCTTACTAGGATTTGATATTTCAGGCAGAAGTTGACTGCACCCAAATGCCTAAGAGCAGGCACCATGGCCAGCTGAGCCCAGGCCAGTGATCCCAAATCTGAGATCTACCCCAAAGGGCCCTCAGAGGCCTCTTAGTCCAATCCCTTTACTTGATAAATGGGGAAACTGAGGCACACAAAGCCGTGCCCGCCCCCCCACCCCCGCCGCTGCCTGTGTCCCAGAACTGGTCGATGAGCAGAGGCTAGGGTGTCTGTGTTCAACTGACCCCCAAGCTTGCCCCATTTCTGCAGGACTGGACAGGGCTAGACCTTGACCACCAGCTTTGGCCTAGACCTAGCAGTGCTCATGTGGGCACACGAACTGAGGCCTCCAGGTGTCCCACACGCACACACTCTGGACAAATAAAAGGAGGGCAAAATTTTGAGTAGAAATCTCAGAAAAACTTGTAAATCCCCCCCCCCCGAAAAGAATGCCTCAATTGCCTTAAAAGGAAACCTTTCTGTGGACTAAGGATAGGCTGTCACGAATAGCCCTGGAAAGATAAATAGAAAAAGTGAGGGGGTGACAAACAGACCGGCTCTTGAAGAGGCCCAAATGGCCTCCTGGAGTAGCTGCCATGGGTCAGCCAGCAGCCTCAGGGCTGGGGGTCTCGCCTGGAGGAGGAGGGACTGTCAGGCCTGGGGGAGGGGGTGTTGGAACTCGGCTGGAGGAGAGGTGAGGGGGTGCTGCCAGAAAGGTTCCTGTGTCTGTCACGCCAAAACTTGCATCACAGAAAAGCCAGCCAGGACCAGGACAAACAGGCACCCATGTGAATGGTTTCCAGGAAGACAAGGCCCTATTGCCCCTCTCGGATGGGTCCAGATTGGGAAGGAAACCAGCTGCTTTGAGGGAACCGATGCTGCTAATCTGTGCTCTCCCGAGCAAGATGCTTTGAGCGCCCTGGGCCGGGCAGCCGACTGGACATAACGCGGCCATGCGTCCTGGGAAAGGCCTTCTCAGGGCTTCTCAGACGAGTTAGCTAGAACAGTGAGGGCTCAGTCCTTGCACGGGCTCCTTTTCCACACCCTCCTGTGGCAGGGGGGTGGGAGGAGACTGGTCCACGCCTGACCAGATACTCTTCCTTAGGGTTTTCAGTCACTGTGTTGAAACCCGAGTTTGACAGCTAGGGTTGTGTAAATTCCAGTGGGATTCTGGACAAAGAGGGGGACTTGGAAAGGGGGTCTAAACAAGTTTGGGTCCCAGGTGGCTGCCGACTGAGTGGCCACAGAAGTGGAGGATGCCAGGATGGTGCCCAGCCCAGACCCAGGAACTCCCCAGGGGTGAAGGGCTTGAGTGACCACAGACACGTGGACCTCCCAAGCCTGTGGCATAGCCCCCTGGGGCCAGCAGGGGAAATCCAGACCCACCCAGAGGGAAGCAGGTGCTCATTTAAATGCAGCTATAATTTAGGGGCGCCTGAGTAGCTCAGTGGGTTAAAGCCTCTGCCTTCAGCTCAGGTCATGATCCCAGGGTCCTGGGATTGAGCCCCACATCGGGCTCTCTGCTCTGCAGGGAGCCTGCTTCCTCCTCTCTCTCTGCCTTCCTCTCTGCCTACTTGTGATCTCTGTCTGTCAAATAAAAATAAAAATAAAAATAAATAAAAATAAATACAGCTATAATTTAAATTACATCATGGACTGGTGTTGACAGACCCCCCCCCCCTCCCCTCAGGATTTGCTGTCTCAGCTCTGATCTGTGTCTTGACTGGTGCCCCAGTGAGCCCCACCCCCTGCTCCCTCCCAGCTTCAGGAGCACACAGGTCAGAAGGGGAGAAAAAGAGGGGAGTAGTTGCTGTTTCTTCTACTTTTCTGAAAACAGTATTGACGATATTGGGGAGTGGCGACCAGAAGTTATTTGGACCAAGCTAAGGTATCCATGACCTTTGTGTTCTCCATTAGGTAAACACTCCTGGGCTGCACTACCCAGCTGGGGCCCTTTCCCCTGGTGATGGCCGGGGAACAACTCCCAGGGCTCCTGGTCCAGGACCGATGACTTAGAGAGTCCTAACCCCTCCGGGCAGGCTGGTCTCGGGCCTCTAAGCTTCAGCCTCCCTGCCATAGGTGCCTTCGTGCCAAACCTGTTCCCTGCTGAGCCCATACTGGGGTTCCAGCAAGAGGTAAATCCCTCTTCCGCCCAGCTGGTGTTAGCCACACCCTCCAGACCCTCCCACGGCTGACCTAGAATTTTCCACTATGTCATGACTGTTATGAATGGAATTGTGTTCCCCCACAATTCATATGTTGAAGCCCTAACCCCCAATGTGACTATATTCAGAGACAGAAGCCTATAGGGAGGTAATTAAAGTTAAATGGAGATCCTCGTCTGATAGCACTGGGGTCCTTATAAGAAAGGAGCACACACCAAGAGATGGATCTCTCTCTTCCTACACACATGCACGCAGAGGAAAGGCCATATGAGGACACAGTAAGGAGGCGCTCGTCTGCAAGCCGGGAAGAGAGGCCTCAGAAGAAGCCCCTCCCTCCTGTGGGATTTTGTTATGCAAGCTTAGCTAATACTGTGGCCTCTGTCCTTTGACCCTTGGTACTCCGGAATGTGGAACCAAGCTTGGAATCCAAGTCT